CTTGGCCCCAAAATAGATTTCCGTATCGTAGGTCTCACACAGCGCCGGCACCTCCTCAAACTGCATGAAGATCGTCGTGAAGGCCGGCTCAATCACGAACGGAACCAGAAACAGAAACGCGAACAGGCTAAACGTGCCGAGGAGTATGAAAAATGCCGTCGTATAGAAGAGCAGCTTCTCCTTGGTGGTGCGTTTCTCGTGCTCATCTCCCATACTGTGGCTGTTTCAATCGATTAATCGCTATCGATATCCGGTCTAGTTACACTCAAATGGCGCAAGGTCTGGCGGGGCAGGCAGGCAGCAAAAAGTTGTTGGAGCGCGAGAGAGGGGGGCAGGCAGGCAGGCAAAGTGTGTGATGTATAATTATATATATTTACTATATATATATTAACTTAATTACTTCTAATTATTTGTATAGATTTATTTTAATTACTGAGTGCACGCGCAGTCAGCTTCAATCCAAGTGTCGCCGGGCGCTGCTTAGCTTAAGCTATTTATCGATTAACGATAACTATGAGCTACTATTTAAACGGTTACAACTACGGTGCAGTTATATCACAGGGCGAGTCGAGTACGTGTTACGTTTTTGCTTTTGCTTTTTCAGTTGCTGTCGTTGCCTCTCCATTGCTTCCTCTTCAGCTCTCATCACAGCAGTAGCCGCTGCTGAGCAGGTGGAGCAGCAGCAGCATTTTGCCTGCAATATTTGTTGTTGTTGCTCTTGATATTGTTCTTGGTGTTGTTGTTATTGTTGTGCGCAATTAGTCTAAATACAATCCAGGGATGCGACACAGCACGCATGTTAGCCGTCATTGGACACTCTGCAAATCCTGACCAGCGGCCCACACAGAGGCTCACACACACACGCACACTATTACACTTGCCTTGGCTGCCTATGTGTGTGCGTGTGCTGTCAACCTTTGCTAATTGCTTTATGCGTCCCAGCGGAGATGTTTCGTCAGCAGCATTCGACGTTGCAGTCGTTTTGCTGCTCTGCTTTGCTTTGACAGCAGCAGCTCCTCGCCTCTATCTTCAGCTCTACCCTTTCCTCTTTGACTTTGCTTGATTATTTTATGACTGCGGCAAAAGGCTGCGCATACGTGTACGTGCGGGCGTCTGTGTGTGTGTGTTCGTTTACGCGTGTATAGGTGTGTGTGTGTGTGTGTTTGCCTATGCCCAATTTTGAGTAACGGCTTCTCACTCTGCTTGCTGTTGTAGCTGTTGTCGTCGCTGCTTTGCTTTTAGCTATTTAGTTCATTTGTTGTTGCTTTTGTTTTGTTGCTTTTCATTTGGAGCAAAATAAAATAATGCTGGACGGACAAATGTTGTTTTTTCTTCTGCAATTATTTCACTTATTTCCTCTTTCGCCTTTTTTCTTCATTTAATTCACTGCGCTCTTCGCTCTGTGCTTTGTCCTTTGCGCTTTCTCACACTATTCGTGCGGCCACGTGCAGCTGAAACACTGTGCGTCGCAAGCATTTGCTAAAGGGGGTTGAGTTCAAAATGCCGTTAGACGCGTACATGCTTAATTTACACTTGTAAAAATGCTTTAAAAATAGTTCGTTCGTTTGTTCCTCTTGTATTTTTTTTTTTATATTAAACGCGTTGGCATTTTCATTGGCTTGTTATTTTTATGTAACCACGATTGTGTGCATAACTACACAGAAATACACACATATTTATAAATATATGTATATATATGTCTGTGTGTGAATGTACATTTAAATGTGCTTGTTATTCTTAGCGGTTCTGTTGACTGAAATTTACAGGGGCACAGCACTGCGACGCTCGTGTGCCGTTGTATTACGAAACGGAAATATGCCGCCGAGCAGCAGCAGCAGCAGCTGCTGCAGGCGAGGCCATARTGTGGGCAAGAAGAGTGAGGAAGGTAAGGAAAGCAGGTGTTGCCAACAACTGGCGACAATGAGCTCACATGGGCGGCACTAATAACACTACTTCAATGGAGTTGCCTGTAGCTCTCCAGAAACAGTGTCGTCTGCATAGGTTGAGTGGGGTGTGCAAAAAACTACATATGTATATAAAAATTGGAGCCGCATGTAATTTTCAATTCATTTGGCACGCAGGCCAGAGAGTGAATGGGATAGAGATAGAGTAAGAGAAAGAGGGATACGGAGACGGAGAGAGGTGGCGACACCATGCCAAACAATATTATGCGGCATGGCAGTGACTCGTTGAGCGAGCGGGGCACATGGCGAGTGGGGGGCGCCTTGACGACTCCTCGTGCTTTGCACGAAACGATTTTTCATTTGCGTTTTGTGATTCAATTCGAGCCAAGCCAAAAAAAAAAAAAAAAAACAGGCAAGCAAATGGGCAACCGATTAAAATGGTGGCCGAGAGAAAGTCGAGTGTGGTTTGGTTAATTCTGTTCTTTTATGACAAACATTGCCCAATGACATTGTTGTGGTTAACACATTAAGCCAGGAGTGTCTCGCCTGGCCAGTGGCCACTGTGACGTCGCACGCACTCACACAGTGACACACAGCAGTGGAGTGTGCGTGTGTAGCTGTTTACTCAAGGTTCAGGTTACGGTTACGCATTTTCAATCAGCAGAAAACAAACGGAACCTGAGCTCATTTACTGTATTTCGAAACAATTTTTAATGACCTGATTGCGCGTACGGGTCAAAAGTTCAAAATACAAAAAAAGAAAACAACGCACACGCACACTCGCACACAAACACACACAAGCACGAATACTCAAGCATATTCACTTTTTGTCATTTTCGCTAGAGCCTCGGACCGACCGACAAAGAGGCGACGGCAATAAATGGCGGAGACAACGAGACAAGCGACAACGACGACGGCTGAACTCTTCACCGAAAGGACTGCCACTGCTGGCGTCGCTGCAGCTGAACGCTGGCTGAGCTCCAGCACGAGCTGAGCTTTTGCGCTGCGCTACACAAGCACACGCACACACCCACAAACACACACACCGAGAAGGCGTGCGGCATGCGCGACAGCTGGCAAGCTTTGCAGCCGCCGAGTCAAACAATTCGTAGAGGCTTAGCGAGAATCGTTGCCAGCCTAACATCAAAGCTCTCTCTCTCTCTCTCTCTCTCTCTCTCTCACATGTAAAGCTTGCAGCAGTAGCAGTAGCAGCAGCGGCAACAGTGGCGACCACCCCAATGGATGACGTAAAGACAGGCACGGCCAGGCGCGTGCGCACGCCCAGCGACAGCTGCTCTCTCGTTTGGAAGAAATGTCAGAATATTTTTGTGGCGTAAACAGCAGGGAAAATATGTGAGCCGCGGGCCGTGCACGACACACTGAAAGTATTCATCTGTTTGGAAAATCACTAAGGAAAATTGTCRAATCAAATCAAATTTGCTGCCTTACAATAAATAAGAAACAACAAAACTGCGTTCAAAGTTAACAAACTTATATTAAGCAATATTAAAATAATAAAAATCGTGCTGCATTTCCATTATGAAACGCCTTTACGTGTGCGTGTGTATGTGCTTGTGAGTGGTATGTGTTCGTGTGTCGCATGTGCTCCTTTCAGTGTGTGCGCCAGAGTGTGTGTGTGTGAACGTAAATAAACCTCAATACATGGAACACCCACAACTTTGTACATGTGAGTAACGAATCATATTCTAAGAAATAGAAAACTGAAACAAAAAGAAATGAAAGTAGAAATGCAATCGACCTTCTTTTTGATATGCAAGAAGTGTTGCCTACTTAGCAGCGCATTCGACGTTTTACCCAAACAATAAGCAACATCGCCTCAATCAAACATTTGAAAAGTTCCTCAATAACAGTTGCCATTGATTATTCAATGGAGAACAGTTGGAAAAACGGAAGGAAAACTTATTATTGTGAATATTTTATAGCCAGCTAAGCTAACAGCTGGACTATTAGTTGTCACTTTAGCTGGTAAGTCAACAAAGGAAGGCTCTTCTCAAAAGCAGGCGGAAGGGCAAAGGATATTATTCCCCATAGAGTGTGTTAAATCAATTTTATAAAAGCTTTTATGCTCGACATGTCGTTGGCCAAGTGTTAAATTAAAATTATAAATAGGCTATAAACTGTGAGTAAATTTAATCAAATTGCATGTGTTACAGTGTGCGTCATATAGAACAGTTTTTTATAGAATAAATGAAAGGGGCTTTCCTTTTAAGATATATGTATATAAATATAAGTGTATATATAGATACTCATATTCAATATAGATAGAGATATGGTCGTTAAGCTAAAATAAATAGAAAGTTATTTATAGTTTAACGTTTATTTCCAAAGAAATGTCAGTAAGCAAACAAATGTCACTCACTCAAATTTAGCGCCCATCGTATAGCAACATTGCAGCAAGTTGGCAGCCCTGTGCTTTTTATTTATTAGCAGTGTTGCTTTCACTAAGATAATATATCGATAGTTTTAACAACAATCGCAAGTCAGCTAAAAAGAAATATTTAACAAAGCCAACAAGTGAAATTCGCAATAAAGCCGTAAATTTTACGTCACTTTGCACAAATTAAACTGCCCAACAAATATTGAAGCATGGGCGCCGCCGTACTGCCTATCCTATTCTTTACCTCTCTGTGGGCCGCCGTTGGCATTGGCGGCTCGATCATTACGCCCCATGGACCCCAAAGGCAACTGATTCAATGCATCCTAATGCTAACCGCCGGCTGCTGTTGGCTTTTCTGGCTTTGCTGCTACATGGCACAAATGAATCCACTCATCGGACCGAGACTCAGTCGGCGTGCAATACAGATCATAGCTGAGTCCTGGAATATGCCCATTAAGGAGGGCTAACGAAGGGAGGATCATGTGGAGCAGGAGGAGTAGCATGAATTATCGTATTAAATCTCTAATCTTTTTATATACACATTAATTATACTACATTTGTTAATTTTGTGCATTCCAGCGCAAATTGTAGAGTAAATATATAAATATATTTATACACAATGTAAACACACATTAATAGAGTCGAACGTCACAAACGCCCACCTCGCTGACCCTGCCCTGCATTCAGCCGAGAGGCCGTGAGCAGATGGAGGCGTGGCATGTGTTTCAGTCACGCTTCAGCTTAATCAATGAAAGCAGCAGCTGGCAGTGGAGAGTAGCGAAGGGCGAGTGCATCGCAAGAGAGGGTCAGGAGAGAGCGTAAGGGCTTTGGAATGCGGATTATTGATTTCTTGTTTGTTAATAGAAAATGCGCGCGCAGCGCTTTGATTTGTTGAAAGAGCCTGAGAGAGAGAGAGATGAGAGCAAGGCTGAAACTGGCGGCATGTTGTCGGCGGTCAGGATGGCGACGACGGCAATTGAGAGAAWATACGAACTGCACTAGCAGCAGCAGCAGCAGCGATTCAGTGCGAAAAGTGTGCAAAGCGAAGCGAGGCGAGGTTCCCAAAAGGCAGCAGCAGAAATTAATAAAAGAAAAAAAAGCCAAAGCAATGCCACAGCTGCTACAACTAAAATCGAATATTAGCAAAAAGCATAAACTATCTGTTTAATAGTTAATTACTAATAATTAAGTTGTTAATCTAGCTACGAGTTACAGTAAAAAAAAAAAAAAGAGAAACGAAAGTTTTTCGCACAAAACTTTGATGTCACTAAAAATCGATAATAGATTCAAATTGTGTAAAATTTAAGCGAGCTGCAGGAAAAAAGATTAGTAAAGACATAAAAAACAAGCGCATTACACACGAGCTTTAAATCTGGTTATATAACGGACACACACACAGCGAAGGCGAATCGATAGGACAGGCCAAGATGAAGCGCAACTAATTGGCCAAGCACGCGAGGCATTAGCATAAGCGAGAGTAAAAGAGAGCGAACGAGCGGCCGAGCGAGAGGGATAGATAGTGTGACAACATTCTGGCCGAGATTAACGTAGAGTAAAGCGCAGCTACAGTCATGGGCAAAAAGAAAGTGCCCAGCGAGGATCTAATTGTGCCGCCACAGGACAATCGCATCTGTGGCACAATTTGTATATGCCAAATGACGCTCGTCCTCAGCTCCGTGGCGTTGGTCTATCTGACCGTAGCCATCTATATGCCGTCGACGCGTGCCTTCAAGAGCGGCATCGATCCGACGCCCGTTATGTGCACCACCACGCGAGCCGTCAACAAGGAGGGCTGCGAGTGGGGCAGCTGCGGCGAGTGGTGTCTGAGCAAAACCTCCGGCGCCTGCATTCAGATCTATGTGAACCTGCGCAGCAACGGCACGAATCTCACGTTCCAAAACTGCACGAACTCGGCGAACAAGACGTGCTACGGCATCGATCAGGATCGCGCGGACAAGGCGCGCTGCATCAACGACGAGTGCAAGAATCTCACTGGCACCTTCAACTGCACCGCCGGGCAGTGCTTGAACATAACGGACGCCTTTGAGTGTGTGTTCCACAACAGCGATGCTCCGGTCAAGTGCTCCGGGCGACGTGGCAAGATCAACTGCATGGACATCAGCGGCTTGTTCTCGTGCAGCCGCGGCACCTGCCGCAAGATACGCACGCCCTACAACTGCGATAGACGTTGCGTGGATATACCCACCCGGAACAAGAACGTGGTGGTGCTCAGCGGAGACAAGGTTTACCTATCGCAGTGCCAGAATGCCATCAATGCGGAGACCTTGGAGGAGGTGTGGAATGAGTCGAGCGACAACGTGGCCATGACATCGTGCTACTTCATCAAGAACACMTCGGATCGAGTGGATGCCGTAGACTGCATCAACGGATCGACGCTGGAGCACAATATGCTCAGTGACTTGACCAATTTTACATATCTCAGTCATTTGCATGTGTCGGTGGCGACGCCGGTGCCGGAGATAGCTCCGCCCGACGTCGACTTAACCATATCGAATGAATCGAAGCTGATGATCAATTTGGAGGGATGTGTCAACACGCTGATGGATGAGTGCAAGGAGTTCCTGAAGGTGTTCGGCCGGGATGGCAGCGATCACAATGCCCGCGCACGCTTCCCCTGCTTCTATTCGCCATCGAAGAAGGATATTGTTGTGGCCCGGTTCGATCTGGAGGTCACCTATCGCCAGTTCGTGTTCGCGTCGGTGGTGCCGTCGGTGCTGTTCGTGGTATCCTGCTCGGTGCTGCTGCTATGCCAGCGCACCGTCTATGTCGGCGACGATGCCAAGATGCGCTTCAAGGGCTGCGTCGACACGGACACCATTCTGTCCAAGAACAACGTCGGCGCACCTACCAACGGCGACATGGGTGGAGGCGGTGGCGATGAAGTCATGGCCCTATGAGATCCGTCACGTAAGCTTAACATAAAGAGCCTCTTCCAACTAGGGTAAACACACACACTTAGGCCCACTGTGCTACGTCGGAAAATTGCATTGCTTAATTGACAAACGATGGGTAAATCGAATGAACTGTTATTTGTTCACCTCGTAGTGGATCCAACTCTAGGCGAAACACTATAGCGAGCCTGTGCTCAAGTAGCGTTAAAGCGTTTAGACTTAGGCGCAATCTCACAGACATAGAAATCCTAGGTTGAAAGTCCTATCAAACACTCTTATAAAAAGAATACCCCAATAATGTCGTACTATTACTTCCTCAAGATGTTTTCAAATCTGCTTAAAGCAAAATCGGATAACATCTTTCATAAACACTCCCCCTACCCCTTACTCCAACCTACTTTAATATGGAACAAACATATATGAACTCTTAGATCAGAGCTTTAAAAGCTTATTTGGACTTGCTCTTTAAATCCCCTCTCTTCTATACCTTTGCAGGCATTCCTCTGCTCCAGGAAGACAGTCCGGTTCATCAGACTGGCGTCTTCGCACTGCAATAAATGGAGTTGGGCATAGTAAACAATCGAGTAACACTTTGTAATCCTTCCATCGAAATACTAACAGACCACACACCTGAGCGCAGCTTGCTAAAGGACACTCCTGAGCTAACAGCAAACACAAAAACGAAACGAAAAACTATATAAAAACTCTATACATATAGAGTGATATCTATATACACCACATGCGAGGCACGTGAACAATTCTCGAGTTACGAACACAAAGAACCGAAGAAGAGAGGACAATATTAGTATAATTTCTATATTTGAATTCGATTTTCTATTTAGTTTTGGGATAGGCTAGAGAGGCGCGCCATCTACTGAGAGTAATTAGCGTTGGGCATGGCCTGGTTGATTGATTGATGCTTTAACTTTAAGTTAAGTAAAGAAGAARAAAACTAACWACAACATCTATAGGGAATACCTTCAATGCACTCACATACACAAGCACTGAAACACACACACTCACACAGATACTCACACACACTCACAGAGGGAACTAGAATCAGCCCTTAGAAGCAGGCAAACAAAATTCAGCAAATGGTCAAACGGTTTGGAGGGATGCGTGATCAAAACTAAGAAGATTTATGAAATAACAAAATGAAGAAGAAGTTAACCTTAAACTAAATTAAATACATAAAAAAATAAATAAATTTAGATAAAAATTAACAAATCCAACGCAATTTTAACAAATACTAAAAAGAAAACTTAGATTAAACCCAAAAAATAAATAAAATATCCATTTCGAAAGACGAAACGGCGCAGCAGAGAGAAACTTGAGGAAAATTGGAAATCGAGAAGCAGAGCGCAGAGAAGAAAAATCTCTTGGCAAAAAGTTGTTTATTGTTGTAGGCTTAGCGAGCAGCAAACGTTAGCGGTGTTCATTTTTAAGGCTTTTAGAGATARAAAACACAAAAAATAGAAGAAAACTTTTATCCACACACACACACACACACACACATACAGACAGACAAACATAAGCGACCATGAAGAAGAGCTCCACATTGACGACCACCACATCGATGCCAACGTCTCCGACGCTGTCGGCACAAACGCTCTCGGCCAGCAAAATGAGCCTGAGCAGCAGCCGTTCGGGCCGATCCTCGTGTCAATCACATGGACCCGTTAGACCAGGCAGCGGATGCGTCGATGCGATTAAGGCCAAGCGAGAGGAGATCGAAATCGATACCATACTCGAGAAGGCGAAGTTCTACACCTCCGTGTGCCTTGGTAAGCTGCTCTTTCCTTTTATTGTCCTTATTTTAGTTGTTCTTTACTAGTGTAATCCTCGATTCTCTTTCCCTTCATTCCGTTGCTCGTCTTTTCACTTGTATTTGCTTCACTTATCTTTCCTACTTCTTGTTCCTTCATACCTTAACTAATTCATATTCTCTCTTTCTCCTTAGGTACGACTGCCATTTTGTCGGTGTTCACATTTCTCTTCCTGATACCCTTTGTTGTGGATCCCGCAATTTCAACAATCATTGCCGACTACGATCCGGTGCCGGTGACCTGCGTTGTCATCGATCACATCTACGCGGAGGGCATCAAGAATTGCAGCTGGAGCTCGTGTCGCGAGGGCTGCACCTCATCACTCACCAAGTAAGTAGCTTAATTACCATATATATATTTGATCCTTGATCAAATCTTCCATTCGACCAGGTGCCATCAGTTGTATGTCAACTATACGCGAATACCCTTTAGCGAATGGGAGCGCAATCCTCGAGACTTGGAGCGCGTCAATTGGGACGTTAGCTACACAAAGTTTTTAATCAACTCCGAGGGTTGCGGCTATCCACCGACAACCAATTGTAGCGTTTTCGCCAGACAATATGGGTACGTTAACYTTCAGCTATATGCCTCCCTAGAGACTAATTCATTCTTCTCTTATCACCAGCTTCAATCACATTGGCGAGCCTTTTCCCTGCTACTATAGTCGCGCCTATCCGGAAGTGGTCATCGGGCGTTACTCATGGGAGAACAATCTGTACCATCTGGTGCTCTCGCTGATTATACCAAATGTTCTATTTGCCATTTCAATTGGTGTCTTGAGCTATTGGTATTGCCCCTGCTGTGAGAAGGCGTGCAATAAGTCCTCGCGTGTTTACGCCGAAAAGTTTCCAACTAAGGAAGAGTGAGTCTCATTTAAACCRAACAGACAAAATCCCTGTATTGTATTGTAGTAATACCCCTAACACACTCTCACACATCCATAAATTTATATAATAATCCATTGTGCCTTGTATTTGGAACTGTCAAAAGTTATCGTTATCGTTATCGATTGTACATGTTAAACCTTACTGTATTGGCCGCTATAACCCTAACTTATCCTAAGTTTGTGAAACAACTGTAAGACTCGTTTACCCAATTTTGTGTTCCCCATTCACCGATTTTTTCATGCCTTTTACGTGTTTCTTTCTTTTCTCTCTCCTTCTCTTTCTTTCTTTTCTCTTTGTAAAATTATTTACAGGATCGTTAACTGCATGAAATGTAATACGGAAAAGTCCTTAACTTTGAATGTATTTTGAATAACTAAAAGCGACAGTGCCTGAATTTTGAAAATGAAATTGAAGTAGGACTCTACAAAAAACTAAATCTAAGAAAAGCTCTATGTAACCAAAAACAAATCTCAGCACGCTCAGTACACCCAAAGCAAATAGCAAAAGTAAAAGCAAAAAAGCTTTTAAAAAGTTACTCTGAAGTGTCCTTAGCAAATATATTTTCTGGTTGATCTCAGCTTCAAGCTAAGCCACCATATTGTAAGAACATTACCTATCATAATACACCTCAAGGGCGTTTAGTTAGACCCATTTTGTCAACTCTCTACAAGACTTTTTCTTCTAAACTAACAGAGCACAAAACAGAAAAATGCATATTATTGACTATAATATATGTATACATACATATTTATGTATCTAAAGATATATGTCTATATATATATTCAAAATATGTTTCACATACTTTCAAGTATTACCTAAAATAAAAGAAATTCTGCACTAGTCCAGGCTTAAAATAATATTCACTATACAAAGCTCAGTTTAAATTCGACGAACAAAAAAGTAAACGAAATTTAAATTTATATATACAAATTGTAGTTAAAAATATTAAAGTATATATACAAGCATGATTTAGTAATGTATTTGCTAGTTCTATGTCTATGCATGTTTTACTTTTAGCTAAATACACTCGGAGAAAATATCCCTAAAATGAGCAGCAAAATGTTTGAAATTAACTCTAATTCCCGAGCTCAAGCTTCAGTCTTTTTTTTTTTTTTTTTTTTTTTTTTTGGATTAATCCAAATAGAGTTATCTAGTTAGAAAATGGCTTTGAAAAAGAAAAAGGTTTGGATCTAAGATTTAAATTGTACACTATTTATGTTTCTAAATTTCTTTCGTTTTTTAATAGTTTTACTTGACTTTTTTTTTTTATTTTAAATATTTGCATAGAATAGAATTTTCCAGCCTAGAAAAGCTTTAAAAGCTTATAAGATTGATATACGTTTAGACGAAAACAAAGGCTCTAGAACCAAGTTGCCTATATTTCATATAGGAAAATTATATATATTTCAATAGGAAAATTATGTCCGCTGCCATTTTCTCTGAGTGTACCTATCATAGGCCTACCACACACACATATTTAGAACCAACCCTCTGGCATGTTTTGACTTATTTGTTAACTGAATCAATCTAGCATTTGATCTATATAGCTTTACGATTCCAATCGATTCTTTTAGCAAACTTCTGTGTCACAGTGATGAAGATGATGAAATGGAATACTAGCAAAAATAATACAAATTAGTTAAACAAAACCAACAAAAGAAACTCCTTGAACAAATAGCTAATTAACTATGTAGTCTATACCAATACACACACACACGGACAAATACAGACATACAAATAGCTTATATATATATACTATAATAAAAAGAGAAAAACCATCTGCCATTATTATATAGGACACCTTTACTTATAGCGGAGCATTAACAAAACCCAAACAATTTTTCTAACTAATTTTGTTAAAAACTTTTCAATTTGTAGAACTTGATATACTTTATATATATATACTATATAAGAACTCTTTAACTAGTATTTGAGTTTTAAGAAATTTTCGCTTATATTTTGTAACGCTTCTCGATGCTCCGCCATTTCCATAATATATACATATATATATAGATCCATTAGATAAAACTCAAATTTCTACACAAAAATAAATAAGATGCTTGTTTTCAAAAAAGAATTGTGATAGTAGTCATAAAAAATAACAAAAATAAAAAAAGGAAAATTAAGTAAAAGAAAATCGTAAAACCGTAAAAATCAAATGATTGTAAACCTAGCTAAAACAAACTGGGATTAGAGTTCTATATGTTAGAGCTACATGAATTCAGACACACACCACAGAAATCGGAACCAAATATATATGACATATATGTATATGTATATGTATATTCCACAATCATTCAAATTCACAATTTGCGACATTTTGAAATAGTTTTAAAAAACTTATGTAAAAACAAAAAACAATATAATAATGAAACATTTAATGGAAATATATAACAAATATATGTATACATACATCTATATATATACATATGTATATAGTATGCTTAGAGATAACAAGAACACGATTTTATTGCCCCATGGGACGTCACTAAATGCATTGCACTTTTACAATTACTCAACTAACAGATACCCTGTAATGATTTAGAGCAACGAACTAGATAAAGCCATGCATTTTGCATTACTCAAATAATATATATTTAACATATATATAGCTTAATAGCAGTACCGATATATAACGCACGTTGCTTATGAGAATTTTTTAAAATCAAACCAATAAAAAAAACTAAAGCAAAAAATCCGACAAATATTTCAAAAAACATTTTTTACTTAACGTGTCTTTATCAAATAAACAAATTAAATAAAACAAAAAAAGCTAACGGCCTAATTACAAATAAACAAATTAACTAAAAAAAACCATAAAGAGAGACTTTTATTTGAAGAGAGCGAGAGAGAGAAAGTCGAAGAGAGAGTGAGAGCAAAAGCTTTTGCTCTGCGCAGGCGTTGGGGTTAGGGAGGGCGGTGGGCCAAGGGTTTGTTTTGGCATACTTGTACTTTCGCTTTCGTTTCGAAAGTAAAAGTATGCTTTCAGCAGCCCTGGCTAAAAAACAGGACAACGCCAGGACGAACAGGCACAGGCACGGGCACGGCCTCTGCTTCAGTCAGTTGCAAGCGAGCGGTCAATAGCAGCGCACAGAACTCTTTGGCACTTGTTGTGTGGGCCCCGCCACAAGTCACAGCAAAAGCGCAGCAAAAGGGCGTTAAAGAAAAGGGAGGAGCAAAGAGCATTCACAGCAAGTGCAAAAGTTGGCCAAAACAAACGCAACTCAAATAGTTCCCACAACAAACGAACAGTTGGCCGACAAATAAAACAAATAGCTGCAAATCAAACAGAAACTGAAACGGAAACAGCGACGGCAACAGAAGACGAAACCACCCTCAACCCAGTCACCTTGAAAAGGATATATATAGGGTAAAGTGTCGAGAAAAGAAAAGGTTGTAAGTTGAGTTCCTTTCGAATTCAACAAGTCCTACCTAACCCATAGCCATGGCTCGGCGCAAGGACAAGCCGCGCCTTATACCCGAGCAGGACAAGCGCATCTGTCGCGCCATTTGCCTGTGCCAGCTGACCATGGTGATGTCCTGTGTSTCCATTGTCTACCTCAGTGTGGCCATTTACTCGCCCTCGCTTAAGTGAGTAAACCACTCCTCGCTCCTCTTTCTCTATGCCTATACATTCTTTCCACTGTAGAGCCTTCAAGTCGGGCTTTGAGCTGGATCCGGTCATGTGCCAAACAGTCGATCGTCAAATGCCCAACAATTGCCCCTGGGCTTCGTGTGGCGAGTGGTGCTTAACACGCACCAGCGGCTTTTGTCCACAAATACACTCGGTGGTGCGACGCAATGGCACAGATATACAGCTCAACAATTGCACCAGGGTGACCAATACKTCATGTGCTGCGGTAAGTGGAGGAGTATCAAATATGCAAGGACTGACATGGGAGTGGTTTCCAGCTCTTGGGGAAATGAGTARCAGAGCCATCAACAGGGGAAAGGGAATACCTTCTATGAAAATGAGAATAGGACGTTTGAAGATAAGAGAATCTATAGGACGTATAATATCGCAGAACTTGTACAAAAGTCAATACAAAGTATAGTAGCTCGTTTAGGAAGACCTCTCATTTTCTTTCTATATGATTTCCTTACGAAGTTTTAATAACTGCAAAGTTTAAGGCAGACAACCATAATGATAAGCCAGACTCATAATAGAGTCTGAAGAGTAGAGTAGAAATCCTCAAATGAATTCCTTTCGTTTATTTGTAGAGATTGAATCACTTCTGAAAATGTAAATCCAAGTGTGAATCATAACTAATTCAAAGCATTTAAACTGTTTCTTTAATAGCTCTGTGCCTTCATTAAGTTAGAAGCGTAAAATAAATCGAACGAAAACGTCATTTCCTTGAGAAAGCTGAACCACTGCGTAGTTTTAGCCATCAATAAAAGAAAATCGCAAATAAATGGATGACTCAGAGACCGCCAATCCAATGTGAAGGCAAATATACGTCAGAAGTATTTGCAGCATTTGCAGCATTTGTCCGGCGCCAAGGCGTCTTTACGATCCATTAACGGAAATGTACATGCAAACATCTAATCTTTTTACTACATCTTCCTCTTTCCTCTATCGCTCGCAGATTGACCTCAATCGCTTGAACAAGTTCAACTGCAACAATGGCACCGTCTGCAACAACATTCGTGGCGTATTCAATTGCTCGAATGGTGAGTACTTAAATATAATCCAACTTTTGATATCAGAGATTATATACATGTATTTTATAGCTGGTCTTAAGCTTAGACTTATTTTCTTGCAAACCTATCTTCTCTTCAATTTCTTATTAAGGTTTTTTTCATTTCTGTTCAAATTCTCCTGCACTTCTCTTTTACCAAGTATTTCTCCACATATCATTTTCATCTTCTTCTCTGCTTCTTTCATCAGGTCACTGCAAGAACATGTCGGAGTTCTTTTTGTGCCACCACAAGCCCGATGGGCCAGTCATTAACTCTGCCAAGGACAATACCAAGTTGAATGGCTTCTTCGAGTGCCACGGCGTGCACTGCACGAAGATCAAGCGACCCTTCAGCTGCGATCGCTATTGCTCCCGCATAACCACAGCCAATATCAATACGTTGATCATGCACGTAAGTACCTCTCTCTCTCTCTAAGTGTCTCCGAATATAAATCTACTTGACTATTCGCCCGTACAGGAGGACAATGTAATTGCTGCCGACTGTGAGAACGCGGTGGCCTTCAATGAGGCACGCGGCAAGGAGCATGGCGTACGCATTGAACCCACCGAATTCTGGAAGGAGGAGGACGGCAATCTGTTGACCAATTGTGCAACAGTTACTCGCGAGTCCGACAATCGCATAACGTAATTAAAATCTAGAATCGAATTGCAAGAAACTTCATTGAAACGCATTTCCAATAGCGCCACGGACTGCTTGAATGGCACCTTGCTGGATCATGAGACCCTGCCGGCTCCCTATATGAATTTTACCCAGTTCTGGGCCATCTATGACAACAGCACACGTGCCGTTGATCCAGAGCAAAAGTTTCTGCCCAATCAGGCGAATCTAACCATTTACAGCTGGAAGAAACTGTTCATCAATCTGGAGGGTTGCGTCAATACACTCAAAGGGGAGTGCAAGGATTTCGTGGCCCGCTATGGCAACGACGGCGATAATAACACAGCTCAGTCACGCTATCAATGCTACTACAACAAGGTAACCAAGGAGCTGGCCAACCAGCCAAGGTGGGGGATCAGGTTTCAGTTGTTGCGTAGCAGGTGCATAAGTAATATTTACAGCAGGTGTGGCTAAGGCCACTGACCATGCAATGGCGAAGCGGATACCAACAAATGGGGTAGTATACGGTTGTCGGGTGTATGTAGCAAATGAGGATAAAGCAACTCTAAGAACAGACAGAGTCCCAAAGTTCCCATATAAAAATCTTTGAGAAACTTAAGAGAGTATTTGCCAGTCCATCAGTCTAAACATTTTCAACGATTTCTCTTCCAGGATTCAAATGTTGAGTTTGTGGTCGCACGCTACGATCTGGATAAGGTCTATCGTGAGCTGCTCGTCTCGCTGATTGTGCCAATCGTGCTCTTTGTAATCTCATCCATATCGCTGTGCGTGATAACAAAGTCCGTCAAGGTGAGCGAGCATTACAGATGTAATAGTGGAGCGCATTAAATACTCTTCCCTTGCAGGTGGGTGACGATGCGAAGATGCGTTGCGTTTGCGCTGGAGAGAACTCGGATGATGATGGCTTTGGCAATGCAGCCGCCAATCAGCCGGAGCAAGTTTACGACACAGATGACGATGTGGTTGAAATAGACCAACAACAAGTGGTTGAGGTGGAGGTGGTGCAGGTGGCTGAACAGCAGCAGTTGCCATACGATACACCCGAGATGATTGGCAGCACCAAATCCTTGATACCGCTAAGCCCAACTGCCGGCCCCACCGAACAGCATTTCACCGAGGATCAGGACGAAAAGGCGAGCAAATGTGATGTGCCCGAAAAGCCGCTAGTTATACTCTAAATACATACAGTCCAAGTCTATCTATGTATGTAGTCGAAGGTTAGCTATAAAGTGAGCTCAGGATATATACGACGTTGAAAATCGAAACAAGAACAACAAACACTATACGGAAGACACTCTACCAAATCTTTAGGGACCTGCAAAAGTTTACTTCAAATCATTTTTTATATATGTATGTAGATATATAATCTGATTTTTCTTAACATTCACATTACTTTTATAGAAAATACTGTTCAATGTAATTCTCAAGAGCTTTATAACTAACCTCTTTAAAGTTAGGATTATCAACAACTATATACATATACCCATCTAATCCGCTTGGTTCAGTAGATGTGCCTTGGAATTTGCAAAATCAGTTGCATTTAGAACAAGAATTTATACATATATATATATACATACACACACATATATATAATCCAGGGAATATATAGTAATACAAGACCAACGACAAAACTCGACAAAAACTCGATTCATCATTTATCTGCTGAACCATATAACTATATAGATATATATACATAAGATCATAGATTCCTAAATGGGAAATGCCACCAAAATGATTTTTTTGGGCAAATGCATTTATTTAGAGAAAAGATGACAAATCAAGTTTCCAGAACACTGAAATCACATAGTAGATATACAAATAAGGGCATATAATCTTCGGCCTTGATCCTCAAATTTTCAATCAACAGTTAACGATTTTCGATTTAGTAGCTATTTCAATATTTACAGTGAAATATCTTTTATTCTCAACTAGTTTAGCTAACCTATGCGAAATTTATCTATGAACAATATGGGCTGGAAAACAATAATCAAAATAATCAAGTTCAGTTTAATTTTTCTTTCAAGTAACATCAAATGCTAGAAGAAAGCTAAATTGTGGAAATATGATCAAGATCTTATATTATTGTTTGAACCAAGACGTAATGAATATTTCTTCAAGCTCTAAATAAGGCATACATTTTGTGGCTCAGCTTAACCTGAACTTCTACAAATTTATTTAAACCTATCAAAACATTTATAGATTTTTATATATATATATATACTTTACCTACATATGTAAGTGCATACTCATAGAAAATATATAATAAATAAATAAAACATTTCAAAGCTCGCTCGAGCAAGAAAACCGAGTTTAGAATGATTAAGGTTGGAATATCAATGGACGCAGCAATCTAAAGCGCCAGAAAATTCGTACTCTATTAAACAAGCCTAGTGGACACTTACCTTGAGCTCCTCTTGACGCTTAAAGTTAGCTGCCATCATTTGACGACGCAGTTGCTCATTTACGACCTGCTCCCTGCCAGGTGGACCCTCGCCTAGCTGATTCAATTTGACAACCACCTAATAGGAGACAGCATATATACCTATTTAGCATTTGAATGTAACTGAAACTCATCTCATCACCTACCTTAGTTTTATCATTGCTACCCAAGTAATCCTTCAGTAGTTTGCCAGGCAACACTTGATGTCCAGCAAACCACAATTGTGCCTTGGACGGCTCAATGACCTCCTTAGAGGCTTGAGTGCCGGTCAGATCCTCCATATTGATAAATTCCATTTGAATGGTATCATGTGGTGGCAGCTTCATTGGATAAACAATCATCACGGCACCGCGCAAGATGTTCAAAGCCTCCTCAACGATCTTTAGGGTCAAAACGGTGTTCGTTTTGCACAAATTCTGTTGAATGGGAAACGTTAAATATACACAAACATAGACCATATGAACAATATAAATATATACCTTATCTATCATTGCCTTGGCATCAGCCATAGCCTTTTCCAGAACTTTGCGCATCGCTTCGTTTGGCTGCTGACCGTTGCGCCGGCAAAGCGGATCCTTGTTGAAGGTAAAGCCGCCCATCGGAATGCATTTATCGGCCCATTCATCCTTAAGGTGTAGCTCCTCAATCTGATCATCGTTTAGCTGCCTCATCTGCTCAGGCAACATGGTACCGTGTTCGGCCAGCTCCTCCATCTCCATGCAAATACGCTGAACCTTTAAGCGGCCATTGAAAACCGACACCAACTCTCGTATAACGGTATCGGTGGCCGTGTTCACACTTGTTTCATAGAGAAACACATGATCATCGCCGCGTTTCACATGTAGCACAACCATTTTGAACAAAAATATATCTATTTATTTAAAAAACCTAAACCGTACCTCTCGAGTTTAGATTTTCAATTGTATTGAAAAAGTCAATTGCTACAAGGAGCAAGTATTTATTATTATTGAATGTCACTGAAAGTGCTGACAGCCTTGCCAGCTTGGTGTTGGCATGGCAACGCTTGATCAGTTAACGTAACGGTTGTATGTTGCCATGCAACATGTCAGAAATAATTGTTATTGTTATCGAATGGCCGCCACTAACAGCGTTGCCAGTACGCGTAGGCATGGCAACGCTAACGAGTTATGCCGATTGAATTCGAATGTGCGGCAAATAGACTTTTTGTTTATTGTTAATTGGCAACCACTATTATTTTAAATGCCCTCATTTAATTGCGCTGTCGGTCTTTTTTAATAACGGATGGAATTCAAACAATCAGCAAAATTATTGCACATGAAATTTTTTTTATTTTTTCACTGTTTCCTAAAAATATGAATGCAATAGTACACAATAAATTAATATACTCTAACTTACAATAGGAAAAATATACACCTGTATAGAGCATAGGAATAGGGGGTAGGGGGTAGTAAAGTACAAGTAGCCTACGTGTATACACTTTTAATGCATTCCCAATGTATATATATACAATACAGCAGCTGTCCATGGTGATTAGCCTCTGACTGCTGCTCGTAACTATTTTGGAGGGAAACCGGCCTTAATCAGATCCATCAATAAATTATGTCTAAATAGATGTGCGCATCAATTAACTAAAAGTCTTTGAGCATCCGTACGAGGAAGAGAGAACTCGAAATGTGGGAAATTTTTACGCGTGCCGTGCTTTAAAGGGGCGTTTCACTGTATGTCTGGCTATCTGAGTACACGTCGGAAGTTTTCCATCTCGTATATACTGTTGGATAATCTGAAAGGGAACAAATACACATTAATTAGTGACATGCACAAATGTTATACAGAAACTGTGTGTGGGCTTGGATCGGCTAAGCAATACCCTATACTCCGTGACAATCTAGTACTTTAACATATTTAGCATCAAATGTCGGATTAGGAATACTTGAGTAGATTCTCTTACTCTTGACACATATATATTATCACTTATCCAATATACCCGGTTTATACACTTTCGAGGGATAAAAACTAACCTGCCAAAGGCATTGAAGAGCGCTACAATTTCCGTGCGCGACAATCGGAATATAGGATCCGCCTCGATGTGCGGTTTATCCCATATCCCACTTTCCGTTGCCAAATTCAGTTTTTCCGAGTAGAGTATCTTGAGTGCGGTGCCCAGACCTTGCGTCTGCAGTTTGCCCCAAAGCTTGCACTTATCACAGCCAACACAATCCATAATACGTGAGATATTTCGAAATTTCTCTTTGTAATCATTTTTGAATTTAATCGAGGCTATGCCGCTGCTGAACAGGGCATTCTCATTAAAGTGGGATTGGAAGGATCTGTAATGAGATGCACGTATATATGATATCTGCTGTATATCTCTAATAGAACTTAGCTCTACTTACTCTATAACCGTCAGCATATCGTGCATGGCCAGCTTTACTTCCTCATCCTCCTCGGCAATGCCCGTATAATAGTTCTCGCGCCTCAAATACGGCGCTGCCTTTGCCAAAGCTCTCAATTCGACTAGATAAATGAAATACAAATTGCGTAGCCAGTGTGGGCCTTCGCCGTTAGTTGTTTCTGGACTGAAGCGACGCTTGAACTCCTTCACATTGGGTCCCCAGATGCCTTGCGGATCTAGAAAATCTTTTGTTTCGGACAACAAATATTTCGAGCACAGGTGTATGTTGATGCTTGAGTGTAATCCGGAGATGATGCGATAGAAGGCCCGTTGCTCCAAGCAGACGTCGCGCAACTCCATGTGGGGCATATAACTGGAAAATTTATTGGCCGTCTCGTTGTTGCCACCAAAGCAGTTCTCTAAATAGATGCTCTTCCAGATGCGATGTGCCGAATCGCCCTTATAGCCCGTATAACGTTCTGGATTCAACAATAGATCCACATACTGTGCATCCACGTCATGATCGTCGACAATGCAAAAGTCTTCCTCGGCTTCATCGTGCTTGGCCCATAATTCGAACTCCTTATGAGCCTGATCACTGATGCTCGTGTCCAGGAAACCCAAAGCACTATCGAAATCCTCCGCATCCGAGCAGCCTTTCTCCAGCTGTGCCTCACGGGTGTACTACATAAATACAGATCAGATAATAAGGAAGTTAAATGAGAGAATATTCTTAACTCTACAGCTGTGTAAATAGTAATGCAATAATCTTATTGACAAGCTCTTAAAGGTAGGCGGGTCTCATACTGTGGCGAATCCCATTGAACTCTTAACATCTGTGTCAATAAGCCACGTCATATTCGGGCCAATTGTCAAGCACTGATGATATATACTATAAGTATACTGTATCTTTCAGACACGTTCATTCATTGAGTGGTATATTTATAGATAATGATTGGAATTTATGACAATTCATCCAAAAGAGTAGCGAGATAATAAATAAATATTGTTACTTAAGGGAAATGGTCTGTCGAAACTCAATTAAACTTTCTGTTGATAACAAAAATGGAGATACCGTGAACTTTCTTAAAACGAACAGTTGCTTTTAATTAAAACATTCTTTAAGGAACGAAACCTTATGATATGAATTTTGCCTATAACACTATATAAATAAACAATACTTTAACTTAATCTTTTGTTAGTAGTTGGTAATAAAAAATTATCAATATAAGATATGTTATCAATATCTACAACAGATTTAGTAGACACATTGATAACTTCCCTACAAGAACCCTCTCTATAAAACATTAGGACAACTTTCACTATAGTAAGAGCAGAAGACATTTCTTTTAGGCAACTTTCACTGTAGAATCAACGTAGCTGTTAATCGTTTCTAGTTACTTGAAACGCACGACGGCCCATACTCGTATAATATATATATAAACCCACCTTAAATGAAGCCGCCTTATCACGATGCTCTGATTGATCCTTTATGCCCTCCGGTATGGCTTGCTCCTCGCAGTTTTCCACCTGGCAAAAACGTATGGCACAGCGACTGTCATCCGGCCAGAAGGGACAGTCCTGCTTCAAATTAACCTTATAGAATCGAAAGAAGTTCTTCACTAGCAAACTCTGAAGTCGCGGATAGACTTTCATGTTATTAAAATGATCAACAGTGTCCACATCGCAGCTGCAATCGTTGATGGAGCCCTCGAGCTGAGGAATGATCATACATATTTAGTGTGCTTATATAGAGYTGCATGATTCATTTGYAAGCCTTACCTCACAGAAACAATTCTTATGCGTTTCAGCGTCATCGAGCGCAGCAAAATAGCCTCCAGTAAAATCGGTCCAATATAACAGGACAAGCAAAGCGATTGCTAGGCCGCTGCTGGCTAAAACATTGCGCCGCAATTTGTGTGTGGTTGTCATTGTTGTTGTAATTGCTCTGCTACTAGTTGGCTTTTTTCCCCAACTTACTCCCACTGATTTCGTCAGTATATTGATTCGTTAATATAGCCAGTTACGAGGTATTTATTCACCGCATTGTTTGTTTGCTACGACGCAGCTGATTTTGGACACGTACGTATATTAATATCGATATATAATTGTTCTATGCTCTGCTAACGGCATCGATACTTTCTTGCCATTCGAATGGCAGCGCTGCTGGATGGTGTTGCCACATCAAGTCAAGCCGATCAATCATCAGTCCCAAGCCGTTACATTCAAAAGCTACAAGAGAAACATTGAAGATTTTATATTTTTGTGTTTTGTGGAGAATACATTATGAATTTCGATTGTCAAAAACTACAGGATTTAAGTGTTACTTCCATATTTAAACTATAATCTTAATATTTGGTCAATTTTACATTGTAATAAAATGTTTTAGTGGCATAGATATCGATTGAATTATTTTTTAATATATTTTATATGTTAATAGTTTTTTTACGTAATTACCAACCGAACGACGCACCGATTCTAAATTGAAATCATATTCTTAGGGCTTTCTTACATTTTACACTGTAATTAATTGTTTGATTTGCATAGATATTGATTGAATTGTCTTGAAATTGATTGATAAATGTTAATATTGTTGTTTTTCTATTTTTGATGATATTAATTAATTACATCAAATATTGATTTGCATCTATTCACTGATAAAGCATTCATCTTTTGTTCCCATGACAAGCCCTCGGCCCCTTTTTACATGATCCTCAATATGCAAATCGAGTTCTTTTCGTCCAACTTTCTCGCCTCTCCCTAAAATCAGATCAGAAAGCGAAAACGACCAGGACTGAAGCAAGGAGGAGTGGCAAAATGATTATGCATAAATCGCTTAGGGTAGGTATTCGACGATAGTCTTGAAAAACAAAAGATGTAACCACAACAAAAAACAACATGGATTATCTAAATAGATATTTTAAGATCTTCAAATTAGATTTGGCTGTAGAAACTAAAAATAAAAAATTGAAATAAAATTAAATTTTATTGTGAAGTAGGAAATATTAAAAAAAAAAAAAAAAAATGAAGAAAAGAAATTATTAGCTTATAAATAATTAGCTTATATTTTAATGTGTCTTATATTTACTTATTTCTAACTCTTTCGTACTGTACCAAGCACCCATTACTCGATTTTCACTTTACCCATGCATCGCATCTTTTTCTTCTTCATCATCTTCTAAGTCCGCTTTGCATACTTCATTATCATATATAGCTGTCCGATCCGCAGTTCCCACGAAAAAGTGAAATGACAAAAACGGGACGAGCAAAAAAAAACACTCGCAAACGGTATAAAAAAGAGGAAAAATCAGCTAAAAAAAAGTGTACACACGCAAAGGGTTTAATCATCTATATTTTTTTTTTAATAGGACGATTAATGTTTAAAAAAAAGGAGACGCGAAAAAACATGTGTGGCCGAAAAGGACGACCCTCGATCCATTGTTTGAGATTGAAAAGGAATCAACGTGATTTGCATACGCAGGACGATAGAGAAACAGGCGAGCTAGAGCGAGAGCGAGAGAGAAAGAGCGAGAGAGAGAGCACGGCTGCTCAACCACCACCACCACCAACACAAGACCTTATCTATTTGCCTTGGGCCCAGGGGCCAGGATCTCAGGTATACAAAATATGCTCGCAGAATGATAAATAAGTTTTTTTCCACAATTTTTTTTCTAAAGTTTTTTCACTTTTTTATACCACTTTCAATTTTTTTTTAGGCAGCGTTTTATTCAAATTTCGTTCGTGTGAAGAATGCTTCTGATGCCTAGAGCCTGGGAACATCCGAAAAAATACAGAGACTGAGACGCCGCATCACTTAAATAATCTTCCTTAAGGTTGTCCTTTTGCTAGACATTTGTTAGACAGGCCATAAGCTATGCCAGCTCTAATTAGCTAGACAAAGTAAAAGTAAAAATTTCGAAATTCCTTTCTTTGCATATTTGAGGTTAAGATTATGTTGCCCGAGCCACGTGACGTTCGCCTTAAGCAGGCGATTATGCAATTTTTTCCCATCATCACCATTCGATTTCTGCACTCATAATTGCATTTCAACAATGTTTGACAACAGTAAAACAGTCAAGAGTTATCCCAGCCTGCATTTGCATGCGAATCTTCAGGTAATCACGAAACTCCCTGCTGACTTGCGAAATTTGCATAGGTTTCGCACAGGGTGCACTCGAGATTTGCATAACTAAGCCGGGCGAACGATGCGCTGAAAAGGGACAACAATTGCAGCAATATAATCCGCTAAGTGGGCACACTCCGGGGTTAATGCTTAAGCGAAAAGAAGGTCGCAAAATTTCTCAAGTGCCAATAATTGCAGCTATTACAGCTGTCAAGCGATCCCTTTTCAGCTGTAAGCGACCTACGCTCTGCCTGCCGCCGGCCGCCTGCTGCCTGCCGCCGAGAACAGGTGGCGAAGAGAGCGCAATGCTCGCTCTTTGCTGCTGCTGCTGCTGTTACTGCTGCTCTTTCAACAAAGTTTCTTTTGCTCACTTTCTCCGGCCTGTTGCCGCTGCTCGTGGCTGCCGCTGCTGCTGCTGCTGGCCTTGGCGGCTTACCAAGCATCGAGAACCTTGAGCATTGGTCAGTTTGTTACTGGCTTTCGCAAGGTGCAGTTGCCCCGGCACTAAGAACGGTTAGTTGAGCTACTCAAGCAAGTGTATCTGTGTGTGTGTGTGTGTGCGTGTGTGTTGAAAGAACTTTGCATACGCAGCCATTGGCAATTGGAAACTGTGCCGCATTCCCGACACGTCTATGCCGCCTTGCGCTGTCCTGCTGATCCGGCGCACAGTTATGTGTCGTCTTGTGCTTACCGTTACCATTAATTCAGAAAGAGCAAAAGAAGTAGAGGAAGAAGAAGAAGAAACGGCAGAAAAAAGTCGCTTAACTTGTTCGGATTGCGCCCCAAAGGCAAAGACTGAGCCGCGCTGACTTTGGATCAGTCGCTGTCTTTGGTAGAGTGATATGCATGAGTGTGTGTGTGTGTGTAACTGTGCCTCGGGACTTTAATGGAAGTGCTAAAAATGAAAGACTTTATAGACAGAACATACAAAAACAAAAACAATTTGCAGTTGACAAAAAAAAAAATAATAATTTCAACTATGCTACACCTAGAGAAAAGACTGACTTAGTTCTGTTGTAAAAATTAATCACATCTCTATATCATATATATAATTACTGTTAACTGTTTTTGACATCTCTTATAATCTATAATTAAATTCATAACTTAGTAATTTTCAATTTCGACCTTGACCGCATTCCGATTCGATTCCAGTAATCAGTAATTTCTTTTAGTGTAGCTAGTGTGTCTACCAGCCGTCGTTTACCGTTACTGTTAACCGTTCGATCGGCATTTGAATGCGTGTTTCTGTTTCTGTTTCGGTTTCTGTTTGTTTTGGCTGTCGTCGTTCAATGAAAGAAATTCTTTACGACTCAAGTGTGAAGAACACATAATTCGCATGCTAAACTTGAAGAGCGAGTGCGAGCGAGAGGTGAAGAGGAGCAGGGTGTAACATACTGCTTTTGTTGGTGTTGTTGTCGCGCCTTATGCAGCTGACCTACTTAAATGAATTTGGTGCCGGACTTGGTATTCATGATGGCGTAGGCGTGCCCATGCGCCAGACAGAGACAGCGCATGGCGATGGCTGACCCAAAAGACGTGCCCGCTACACAGTTTTGTTTTTGGGTTCTAGCGCTTGTTACAGGCGCTTCAGCTTTCTAGCTGTTCTTTCTTTTTCTATACAGCTTGAGGATTGTCACACGCCTGGCTTAACGAGAGTTCTCTTTTCATTGTTTTTGTTTTCCTCTAAATAGTTTTGGCCCTTTAAGTCTAAAATTTCCGGTTTGAACGTGAAAGCGAGGCGGCACGTGAGGCAAATGCAGCGCTCGATAAGAAGGGGGCAGCGCGCGTTTAGTTGTCGCCGGCACATAATTGTCACTGAGCTACATACATACAAATACATACACATGTAGCTCTGCCATTTTCTTCGTTTTAGCCATTGTCAAGTGTTAGTCAACTACATACTACATATTTATTGCCAGCACTTTCGCTAAAGATCTGTCAACTGAGATAGGTTTCAATTTGTTTTCGTTTTGCCTTTTTGTTGTTTTTGGGGCAATGCACTTTCTATTTCATTCATAATGCTAAAACGTTTCATCTTAAACGTTGGGAAGAAAACACTAGATTCTTCAGCAAGATTCCCTTGATTTTCTTTTAGTTATTGTCTTTAAGCCATCAACTAGTCCTAGTTTCCGTTTTAGTTCACTAAGTTCTAACTACATATTAACTTCAATTTTTCCACACTTGTCACAGGTTTTAACAGTTAAAACGGGTTTGAACTCTACTTGAACTACCTTTTGAACCATTTTCTTACAACTGTCAACCCAAATACATATTTTAGGTCCCATATATCAAACGCTCCCGTTGTACCACTAGTTTTTGTTGTTGTCTTATCCCCCTTTAAGACGTATACGTAATATTAAAATGGGGCACGGCAGATAAGCTGAACGCTTGACACAACGGTTAGATGGACGCACCTGTCACAGAACCAGCTCCTCAGTCCATTAACCAGAATGAGGCGAGGCAACAAGCATTTAAACTGGTTTTTCGACAGATGCCCCCCATACAATAAAACCTCTCAAGAAGTTGCTCTCAATGCACTCAAAGAAAAAAGAGCTTTATAATTGAGATTCAAGAATTTGGACGAATGTGGAATATATATCCTTCTGGAACTTTCTTCGAAACGAAAGTTTTAAAAATTTTTTATAATGTAGGGAATTCCGAGATTTACTTGAATATTTTAACAATATATTATTTTTAATTTGAAACATATTTACTTCTCTTTAGTAAAAGTTTAATCCGAATTTATTTTGATAATTCAAAAATAACCATACGCTCTCTCGGTATCAGATCTGTATTTTCGCTCAGTGTGGTGCGACAACTGAGGCATTTGCTGAACGCTTTCTAGGCCAATGATCTTTTGGGGTACTCTCTTGAAGCTCACAGCTCTCTCTCGATTCTCATCTCTCAGCTCGGATGCTGCAAGGTATTCAAGTGTGGAGCACTCTGTTGCGTCACAGGCCTTTCGGGGTTACATGGATGGGGGCGCTGACTAAGCTAAACTTTCACTTGGCTAATTTCGTTTTTCTCTCTCTCTCTCTCTCTCCCTCACTGTTGCCCCCTTGCACCACTAACTGTCTTTCTCTTTTACAGATTCTTGCAACGCGATGAGCTAACTTTTATACAATTGAACAAAGTGAAATGAGAAATTTAAGAAATATGGGAACTTCCCAAGGAATACTTTACACACTGAGTCTTTGTCTGCTGCTATTGGGCAGCAAGCCGTTTGTTGGAGCCCAGGATGAATCATTGGCGGGCAGCTTCCTCTCCGGTCTGTTGGATACGATCACCAGCACAGCGGATGCCAAGGATTGCCCAGGTGTTTGCGTCCATACACTGGCCACGCTCATTTGCTATGAGGTGCTCGACGACGTTCCCTGCCCCTCGCCAAGCATGAAGTGCTGCATAGAGAATGCGCCTGGTAAGACACAGCTCGATCGGCCTCATTAATCCCCAGCTAAACGTTTCCATTTCATAACTAGGCAAAAATGTAACCGCCGTGACCACTCCTAGAACCACGACAACCACTGCCAGCAGCAGCACCACACAGCGCAGCACCACGACTGTGAGCAGCACCACTAAACGCAGCACTACAACTACAACGACAACCACAACGCCTAAGCCGAAGCCAAAGCCGCAGCCGAAGCGTCCAGCTACCACCACCACCACCACAACCACCAAGAAACCCGCTGCTACCACCAAAAAGACCACGACGAGCAAACCCAAGGATAAGGTGGAAGCCAGCAAAACGGAAGATGAGAATAGTATGTGAAACCACTTCGAAACCACCGTAAACCACACTAAGTTCCACTTTGTTTCCACAGAGAATTGCACGGGCGTCTGTGTGGCGGATCGCATAGCGGAATACTGTGAGGCTTACTTGACCAGTGGTGGTCTCTGCAAGGAGGGCACCAAGTGCTGCGTCTCCCTGGATGAATACTCCAATGGCAAACTGCCCAAGGACATATACATACCAGCCAGTAAGACCAAGAATAAACCCCGTAAAGAGCTAGGCTTGATTTCATCTCAATTCACAGAGCACATGAGCAATCTGAAGGGCAATCAAACTCTGCCCAAGCCCGCAACCAGCAAGACGACTAGCACCACAACAACMACGACTAGCACCACAAGCACCACCACCACTACGCCCGAGCCAGCGCGCACCAAGACCCACAACAATAACAACAGCCACGCGCAGAGCAAACCCACCAAGCATAAGAAGACCACCACAACTACCACAACAGAAGCTGCCGCCCAGGAGGAGGAGGAGGAGGAAGAGGAGGAGGAAGAAGAAGAGCAAACTTCAAGCAATAACAATAGCAACAAAAACAAACTGAAGTCTGGTCAGGATCAAGGCCAAGTGCTGAAGGAATGCGAGGGCGAGTGCATGAACGGCATCTTTGCCATCTTCTGCGATGAGATCGATTCCGATGCCTTCTGTCCCGGCGAGGGTAGCTGCTGTATAACGAGCACTGCCTCCGAGTCGACACCTGCTAAGCCGGCGTCGCCCAGCAAGCCAGCCACCAAGATCGCCAACAAGCCGGCCGCTAAGCCAGCAGCTAAGCCTGCACCACCACCACCACCAGCAAGTACGGCCACCCAGTCTGGTGGAGATTTGCTCTCCCAGTTCATATCCTTTGCCGAAAGCACACTGAACTCACCTGCACCACCACCACCACCGCCTGCACCGCCCGCCGTGCAGCGTTGTCCGGGCTTCTGTCTGCTCATGCTCATGGCCGCCTTCTGCGAACGTCCCTCCGTCTTATTAACGACTCCCACGACCTGCTCCAAGGGCTCAGTTTGCTGTGATAACTCACGTTCTGGTGCGCCCAAGCCGAAATTGCCGCCACCAACGGCGCCGCCAACGCCATCACCCACAGCACCACCCTACGTGCTGCCCCATACGCCCAGTCCAGATCCACGCGAGGAATGCCCCGGCTCCTGCATTGTCAGCCTGCTTAGCTTCACCTGCTTCAGTAAGTAGTTGCACCTCGAATAAAGGAAATTCCCTCTTAATTCTCTGCTAATCTCCTCCAGAAAACGCCGAGATGACAGATTTGTTTAGATGCAAGCGCTCCGGTCAGATCTGTTGCGCGCCCAAGAGCAAAATCTTGGAGAAGCAGCAGTTCCAGACACGCAATGACACCTCCTACTTCAACTATCCGCCGCCGTATGCACCACAGCCACCGATGCAGCAGCCACCACCGCCACCGTACGCACCCACCAACTACATGCCTAATCAGCCCCAAGGTCCACCACCACCTCCGCACCACGCGCATGTCTATCAGCCGGGATTGCCTCCACCGCCCAGCTATGCGGATTATTATGGACCCGCACCTGGACCGCAGCCCGCATTGCCGCCATCTGCTCCACCCGCACCACCGACAACAACAACGACCACCACGACAACCACGCCACGTCCGCACGTCTACTCCAAGTACGTGTGTGGCGTCAAGGGCACCTTGCGTACGGGTCGCTCCCGCAGCTCGCCCGCTCTCAACTATGTCTCCTATGCGCGGGCCAAGTACGGCGTACAGCGCACGGCCAGACAGCTGTCGACAACCTATGCTGGCGGCAGTGGAACCATTAACAAGTCAAACGAACGCCTGGTGCTCGGCTCCGCCATTGTGCCCATTCAGATTCACAATGACAAGCTGGGCGACCTGGTGGGCAGCAGCGGAGTTCAGAGCAATCAGCTGCGCTCCTATCACGATCAGCCAGAGCTGTCGTCGTCGTCGGCGATTGTCTATCCGGAATACTATCAGCACAACAGCTACTCGAGTCCCGGACAGCTGTCGGCCAACTACAGCACTCGACGTCGTGCGCGCGTGGTTGGCGGCGAGGATGGAGAAAATGGCGAGTGGTGCTGGCAGGTGGCGCTCATCAATTCGCTCAATCAGTATTTGTGTGGTGCAGCGCTCATTGGCACTCAGTGGGTGCTGACTGCAGCGCATTGTGTTACCAAGTGAGTGCACCTTACCTAGTCCCAATCTGTGGTTAGCTTATCTAATACTTCTTCGATTTCCCTTTACTTTCTCTCGCAGCATTGTTCGCTCCGGCGATGCGATCTACGTGCGCGTGGGTGACTACGATCTGACACGTAAGTATGGCAGTCCGGGCGCCCAGACGCTGCGCGTGGCCACCACGTATATACACCACAACCACAATAGCCAAACGCTGGACAACGACATTGCGCTGCTCAAGCTGCACGGCCAGGCGGAGCTGCGAGATGGCGTCTGTTTGGTTTGCCTGCCGGCACGTGGTGTCAGCCATACGGCGGGCAAGCGCTGTACGGTCACGGGCTACGGATACATGGGCGAAGGTGAGTGCCAGGAATGACCCCATCAAGATATCAAGATACTAATCTCCCACTCTCAGCTGGCCCCATTCCGTTGCGTGTGCGCGAGGCGGAGATACCCATTGTCAGCGATACGGAGTGCATTAGGAAGGTGAACGCGGTCACGGAGAAGATCTTCATACTGCCCGCTTCCAGCTTCTGTGCCGGCGGCGAGGAGGGACACGATGCCTGCCAGGGCGATGGCGGTGGCCCGCTGGTCTGCCAGGACGATGGCTTCTTCGAGCTGGCCGGCCTCGTCTCTTGGGGCTTCGGCTGCGGTCGGGTGGATGTGCCCGGTGTTTATGTGAAGGTCTCCTCGTTCATAGGCTGGATCAATCAGATAATAAGCGTCAATAATTTATAGTTGGCCGAGCCAAAGCTAAGTTGGAACCCCGCACTTGTAGCACACTCCTCTCATCCTTGATTCGGGAATGGTCTATGACTGAGGCTTGGGTTCCCCAAAACCAATAATGGGTCTCCGGCAACCTAACCACGACTGTTAACGTAAACCCAATCCTAGTGTAATCTAACTCACATCTACTAACACTACACCCCCCTCCCCCCTCGTAGAACAAACAAAGTATTCCCCTGATCCCCTCTTACTATACTTATATACGATATAAATAATAATATAAAAGCAAAAAACCTATTGTAAACTGTTTTTGTATATACAAAAAAAGAAAATACAAGAAAATACGTTCGTCATATTTCATAAACAACAAAGCGAAATTCGAAAAAATTAATTTGAAACGTTGAGCTTGGGCGAGGGGCACCACAACGAATAACCCTTTCGGATTTTTAACGGAAAATAGCCGAAAAAAATGGTTACTTAATGAGATGGCGCGACGCGCAGATATGCTGTACTCAGGCGGGAATTAAGGAAAGTGATCGTATCTCTGTTCCCAAGCAAAAGCTAGCTGTACTCGATTTCTCTATAGGTAAATTTCTGTTTTACTCTATAAGCATCTAGTCTCTTATATATTCACACACATCAAAAAAAACTCTTTAGCATACCCTTTGCATATGCTGTGCTGGGCATATTAAAGAGTTGATCAAAATGTCTGCGCAGCTGTGGAGGTATTTTCCCACTCTCACTCTGACTCTCACTATCCCTCTCCCTCTCTCTCACTCTTGCTCATGGCTGTGCGCACCCAATTGACAGCTAGGAGAGAGAGCCAGGCAAGAGGCGGAGACATCCAGCACAAATAGCAACAGCAAAATCTCTCTAACTGACTTCTAATAAGAGTCACGCAGCTGAAAAACTTACCCTCATTGGCCTACAGTGAAATGCCTTCGTCTGCAGATCTTCGGCAACGAGCTTCGGGTTTCGTCTTCGTCTTCGGCTACGCATACCAAAACGCTTGAGCAGCTTGTTGTTGTTGTTGTTGCTTTTCTTTTGCTTCGTTTTTTTCTTCGCCTTTTTAACCCTTTCGGCAGCGACGTCTGCTGCGTGATTCTATGTACATGTTTTTTCTTTCCTGCATCTCAACTCTCTCTCTCTCTCTCTCGCTCTCTGCTCGAAAGTATCTCGAAGATGCAGCAAAAAGGGTTCCACGAGCTGCGCGTCGTTGTCGCTGCGAGAACAGAAGTTCGTCTGGCCTCGAGCTGAGCGGATGGCAGAGATCGAGATCGAAATCGAAAAAACAAAACACAAAACAAATAATTAAACAACGATCTTTACGAAACGTTGCTCAATCCTGGAGTGTAGTGTAGTTGATTTTAGCTTTCTTGTAGTGCATCCTTATTTGATTTTGAGTTCGTTTTTGAGTTTTTTGTGTGTGTAATTTGCATGCATTTAGTCTTGGTTCTTTGTGCTTGTGCCTCTTTGTCCTTGTTTGGTTGTCCTTCTCGTCTTCGCTTAACACACAACAACAACAACAACAATGGAGACGAATTCTCCCACAACAACAACAGCAGCAGCCGCAGTAGTAGCAGCCGCAGCCACAGCAATCGCAGTGGCAGCTTCCACAACAGTTTCGGCTACGAGCACAGCTCCCTCGCCAGCCGGCAAGGCACACAGCTTGGTCACAGGAAGCGGAAGCTCCGGYTGCTCGGCCAGCAACACTCTGCTCCAGTCGCTGCCCCAATCACTGCTCACCACCACCACCACCGCCGCCAGCAACAGCAACAGCATCGAGCTGCTCAAGCAGGATGATGTCAACAATCTGTCCTTGGCCAGCGGCCTCTCCGAGGGACAGCGCTCACTATCCGGCGCACCCTCGGCCTCGTCCAGCCCGATCCTCAGTCCGCAGGGCAAGATCTTTGGACGCAACGCGAACGGCACTTGTAAGTATGAAATAGGTATGAAATAAGTAATGAAATAGATTGTAAGAAGTGATATTTTAAAGTGATAAAATGGGAGATCCTTAGGAATTGTGCAGTGAGAGTGAAAAGTACATAAAAATAAGTTTATTTGGATTTATATGAATATCGATAATTTCACATATTAACGTGAAACTTTTAAAAATGTATAGAAAGATAAATGAGTGGTATTCAGAAGTAGAAATTAAAATACAATGAAGATCTTTAAGATCTACATGCAATTTCTTGACCATCATATAAAAGAATTATAGTGAAATCTATATAGAAAATATTTGTAAAAAATCAATGCGAGTCTTTATGGAACTTTAGATTTACATAGTTATAAAATAATGTAAGCAAAATACATAATTTCTTTTCTTATATTAACAATAACATTAAGGGTAGATATGAGACTGAAGGCTCGAATGAGACGAAGAGCTTGCCGATCTAACTAAGTGCGACCGTTCTTTTCAAAGCAGCGCTCAAAAAGGAATACATATATATAGAAAATCCCCTATATATGTATTTAATATTTTCGTTATATAGTCTTAAGATTATTATTTCATAGGTCTAAAAATTACATGGGTATTTTGTGGCATTACTAGAAGTCTTGTAAAAATTTTATTTTCCCTCCTTTCTATCTTTCATTTTTGACTGGAGTTTGTAAGCTCCTTAAGATCCACTTAAATTAATATTAAACTTCATTTTTCTTTTTTAATGTTTTTTATACAAATTCGCGCTGCATATCAAATTCTTCAGCCAGTTCAGTCTTTGCTCTTTTGTTTTCTTCAATTTCCCGCGCTTTTCAAAGCTTCGCCGGTTCTGTGTGAGATTTGTTTTTGGTTTTGTTGTGTGTAACGGAAATGTGAAACAATAGAAAAAGTTGCCGTTGCTTTAGCTTTGTAATTTAGAATCCGGTTTGCATTTCCTTGGTGCTGCGAGCGTAAGAAACCCACCCTGAGCAGGACCTTAGATAGGGGCAGCAGCAGGATCAGCAGCAGCAGCAGCAGCAGCAGCAGGATCTATTGTCTAGCTATACAAATGGAGGACATCCAATGAAATGTGCGCCAGAGCTCAGGTAGCTCTTGGCTTACCCACACGATAGGTGCGTCTTAGGGGTAGCATCAAGAAAAAAACCTACCCCAGCCCCTGGCTGAGGGTAGCTAACGAGGCATTGGCCTTGCCTCCGAGTCACAGTCACAATGCCTCCGAGTTGCTTCAGCTGGCAGCTTCATCAGCGGCCATTGGCACGTACGAACGCTCCAAAGTTATGGCCATCGATGGTATTTTGAACGATCCAAGAATTTTGCGCAAAAAAAACATCCTGCCATCCATCCAATTTTTATCGTTGTATATGAGAAATAGTTTTCGGTTCAGCAGTTCGAACGGCGTCTGCGAATCAATGCGCGTTTTTTTTTTCTCCTGTCTTTTGCCTGTTGACCATAATCGAAGCGAACGCCAACGATTGACGGCCCTCACACACACACACACACACACGTGTACACACAGACTCACCTGGTCTGCCGGCCAGGCTGTGCGGCTTGGTATGTGGCGTCGAATGTCATTATTGCTTTCAAGTGCCAACTAAAAAGCAACTGCAGTTCATTTTTTGTCCATCTTTGCCATTTGCCAACGCATAAAAACAACATATTTAGCAAATGACAACAACAGCAGCAGCAGTAGCAGCAACAACAACAACAACAACAACGTCAACATAAGCAGCAGCCAACATTAAAAGTCTTGGCCCTACAACGCGCAACATATAAAAGCGCTGGCAGCTGACCGTGAATACGAGCTAATACCCTGTACTTTCGAAATTTATTAGACACTCTTATACGCACGTGTCTAATTCTATATGCACTTATATTTTGTACTTGTAACAGTAATAATACCTTGACATTTTTATACTGGAAATTATACTTCTGCTTGTTCTTATACTTTCCCTTATACAAGTACTTATACTGCTACTTATACTGGTACTTATACTGGTACTTATACTCATGTTCAGTTGTAGTTATACTGATACTTGCACTTGTACTTATACACAGACTTTTAACGGCACTTATACTAGCACTTATACTTGACACTTATACTAGAACTTATACTTGTACGTAGAATGGAACTTATATTCATATTTATAAGTTGAACATACTCGAAACTAAGCTTTCTCTTGACTCCCCGACTCTGCTGTCTCTCTCTCTCTCTCTCTCTGTTCACAACATACCCGCCATTAAACATTTGCCAATGAGTACAGGGTATATAGCAGGCGGTAGCAAAAAGCGACCCGCAAATTAAATAAATAATAAAAAATACAAAAAATCAACAAGCTGCAGCAAGCGAGTGACAATCAGCGCGCCAAGCGCTGCTGCCCAGAAGACAGTGAATCGCAGGCCCCCAACCCAGGCCCAACCCCAAGCGCGGCCACATGGCCAGACAGTTCCACTTCCAGTTCCAGTTCCAGTTCCAGTTCCAGCTCTTCTCCTGCTGCCTGGTCCTGCCACTGCTCCAGCTGCGCGCTCCCCTCGCATTATTTGTGTATTGAAATCACGTCTCATTTATTTATTGCTGCAAATTCCTCACCCCACTCGCCCCGCTCGGCTTCTCAGTGCCACAGTCGTCCCTCAGCCGCCCAGTCGCTGCTATCCACATCTCTGATGTCTTCCATCCACAGAGTCCCGCTTCTGTTTTACGCAAAAAGATTCTGCGTCTGCGTTAAATACTCCTCATTGGGCACACACAGGCAAGAGGCATAGAAGAAGTGTCGCTTGGACAGTCCCACTTAACCCCAAAGGGATCAGAATACAGACTCCATTAATCAGGCTATTTAATATTAGTTGCATATGATCTTGATAGAATTTATAGTATGATAAAATCATCTGTTATCTTTTAATATATAAGAATAATAAGATCGCAGCAATAACAATAAAGAGACAATATTCTCTGATATCTTCTCAGTTTTAATAAGTTTAAAAATCTTCCAATAGATTCTTATATCTTAGAGGTTCCAACAACTTCTGAGATCTGACGAATTATTTCTTTCTCTCAAACCAATTGCTTAAAAATAAATTTCGACTTTTATAGCCAACTAAATGTAGAGCTATATATCCATCAAAAATAATAACCATTGCAGTTTAATTTGATATCTGAGCCAACTTTGCAATCTCATTCGTTGCGCATTCAAGTTTTATGGAGTTTATGGGTTTCTGCTTGGGATTCCTTTAAAAATTGTTGCCTTCAATAGTTTGTCAACGTGTCATAAATTGTGACAGGCATGCAATCATGGGTTAATGATTGGCAACGCATCAAGTGACAACACCAACTACACCACGCTACATGCTTGCTGTACAGCCACCGCCACCTTCAACTCCATCCCATGCGCCTCCTGCTCCAAGCTCCTGCTTTTACTCGTGTAGTTAGTTGCGCTTGTAGCAGCGCCAGCGTCTGCGCATGCGCTCAAAAAAGCAAGTGAGTTATGGCGCATTAGGGCGCATCGACTAAGACATACCCTGTAATTTGATTATAATTGGTAGATACATAGTAGGAAATTTTAGATGTAGAGCAATTACTTGTTCTCTACTAATTATTGAAGTGAACTAAAAAAATATAAAAATCAGTAATTATTATTATTATTAAACTCTTCTGAATGAACAAAGCCTATGTCTGCATACCCGTATATGAATCTCTGAAGTACAGGGTATACAAAAACCAGGCATTGATGTGCCCAACCAACGATCGATGTGCTTTGTTTTTCCTTTTCCTTTTCTTTTCTCTTTTTTTTCTCTTTTTTTGTGATTTTGCCCTGTTTTGTTATAATTTAGTTGGCTCAGCTCGTTTTTCTATTAATTAAAGCTGCTAGAGAGCACTGGGAAACTGGAAAGCATTGAGACTGGGTCTGGCTGGAGAGCCGTCTGCTACCCAAAAGGCCGGACTAAAATATTCTCACATAATTATTTACGATTTGACATAATCATCAGCGCTTCGCCTCATTGGCGGCCTTTTGAGCGCAACGCGAGCCATAAATTGTGGCTTGACGAGAAGGTTTTGATGATGATGATGATGATGACGATGATGATGAGCAGAAGCTGCTGCAGATCTAGGCGAAAATAACTATCATAATTTACACAGGCAGAGAGAGAGTGAGGTAGAGAGAGAGAGAAACATTAAAATTTTGAGCTAAAAAAATGAGAGAAATAAAAAGGATTAAAATGTTGCTTGGGTTCCTTTTTGGCTTTCGCCTTGGCTATGCGCATGCGTGACGCATTTCTAACGAGTTTTGTGCCGAGCCCGAGTATCCTTGGCTCTTTAAAGGACGAAAGCGAAAGGGTTGCACACATACACACGCACACACCCATACATACGCTCGCTCACATTTGCTTATGCAGATGAGCTCGTTCCCAACTTCGTCCGTTCATTTTTTTACTTTTCGTTTTTTTTTTTTTTTTTTTTTTTTTTTTTTTTTTTTTTTTTTTTTTTTTTTTTTTTTTTTTTTTTTTTTTTTTTTTTGATTGGGTTTCGTTTTTTTCCTTCTCTCTTTTTTTCGTGCTTTGCAAAAGGGTTTACGGTCCAGACGTCCGTCGAGTTTTTTTTAGTATAAAAAAAGGCGAATTTAATTAAATTTTTTTCTTATGGTCTCTCAACGTTGTGAGAACTTAGCGGCGAGGCAGCTCTATAAATATCATTTTGATACCCGGTCTGAAGCTGTAGCATAAGAAGAAGAATCTGAAGCGCACGCGGAAATTTTTCATCTTTGAAATTTAGTCATAAGAAATGAAGTGCATAGAAAAAATGTATGTTTATATGGTATGTTGYCTGTATAGTTAGATCTATTTCTTTCAATTTTGAAATCTCTTTTGTGCGTATGATATATCTATATATAATGATGTATGATATATGGTATGATATATACCAGACCTTAAATATAAATATATACTATACTAGCATATCCAAAGTTTACTTAATAACCTCTCTATCTCTCTCTATCTCTCTTTCTTTCTTTCTTTCCTTCCTTATCCCTTAGTAATCACCACATCTCGACCTAGCAATGAGGCGGAGGTGCAGCTGTATCGAGTGCTGCAGCGCGCCAGCCTGTTGGCCTACTACGACACATTGCTGGAGATGGGGGGCGATGATGTGCAGCAGCTGTACGATGCCGGCGAGGAGGAGTTCCTGGAGATAATGGCATTAGTGGGCATGGCATCGAAGCCCTTGCATGTGCGGCGTCTGCAGAAGGCGCTGCACGAATGGGCCAACAATCCGAGCTTGTTTCAAGGAGCCATGCTGCCGCAGCTAGGTAAGAGTGAAAGAGAGAGAGATAGAGACATGGTAAAAGCTAACTAATGTTTCCTTATCTTAGGTTTATGTGAGACACCTACCAAGCCCGCGCCCGCTTTAATATTCAACTCAGACTCAACGCCCGCGCTGCCACGCCATAAATACGCATCCTTTCAGCCCACAGCTCCAATTCCCTCTGCGGCTGCTGCTGCTGCTGCGGCTGCGGCTGCTTCAGTGGCTCCATCTTCAGTTGCCAATGCCCAGATGCTGGCGCAGATTAGTGCGCCCGTCATGTGCCCCGCTCTTCCCGTGCTGCAGAGTCCGACGGCGACGCCTCTGGTAGTCAGCAATGCGGGCAGCTGTGTGGCTGGGGCCAGCACGGCGCATCAGGTGTCGTCCAGCTCGCCGCAGCTGACGCCTGTGCTCACCGAGCTGCAGGTGCAGCGCATCACGATGTGCGCCGACAAGATAGCGCGACAGTTGCCGCAGCGGGAGCCGCGCGCCCAGACCTCCAAGAAGCGCACCACTCGCGAGCTGGAGCAGGTGATTGCCATGGCGGAGCACGATCCGAGGCGCATGGATGAGATACGTAAGTATTCGGCTATCTATGGTAGATTCGATTGCAAGCGACGCCCAGAGAAGCCGCTGACACTGCACGAGGTCTGCGTGAATGAGGCGGCGGCGCAGCTCTGTCGTAATCCCCAGACCATTTGGCTGCTCACGCGGCGCGACGAGCTCTTCCCACTGGCCCGCCAGATCGTCAAGGATGCGGGCTTTGGCCATTCGGCCAGCATAGCCCGCTATGGCGGTCTGCTCACCCAGTTGCCCAACCAGGCAATGCAGCGTGCGAACATTGATCTGGACTGCGAGTCCAGCGATGCCATGACTGCTGCCTCGGCATCGGCATCKGCATCAGCCTCAGCTGGCGGTGCTGTGCTGCCCAGCGTCAAGCGGCAGCGCCTGTCCTCCACAGAGGCGGCTCAGCTGCCCAGCGAACTGAACCGGGTAAGGAAGACGGAATCCATTGAGCCTTAATCTGTGGTCTAGATTATCTGGTGCAGTGCTTCAGCTTCAGCTTCAGCTTCCAAACAAAGTTAACCCAACATTTTGCTTTGCAGCTTGTGGTGCGATCGAAAGATCATTCAATTTACTAACGTCTGCCTAGAGGTTCTTCTTAGAATATCTAGTTGCGATATTATACTCTCCATACAATTGTATATAGAACTTGCTTATAGCTCGTAGTCTTTGGTATTTGTTTGTTTGTTTAGATTTAATGAAAGCCTAGTCTGATACGTTTAAGTATTTTACGTAGGTCTGAAAAATGACTAACTTCTAACTCAGCTAACTACTGAGACCTGTCCGTCTTTCTAGGTGTTCCTATCCATACTTATTTCTTTCTTTTTTCTCTCTTCCTCTCTCTTTTTAATTCTTTCATCTATTATTTTTTTCTGCTATAAAATTTCTTTAAAAGATAATCAAAATTAAATAATCTTTGACTGTTCTACGGATATGTATTACTAAATATTAAACATGAATAGAATATTTATGCTGTAGTGTTAGTATATTTGTTGTTGTTGCTCTTTGTAGTATATTTATAATTTTATTTGTTATCCAACTAAAAGTAAACTAAGCTCTAATACTATATTTTCTTTATTCCTGAACATAATTTTAAATACCCACAATCCGCTCATTTAACTATTTCCAACCAAGCTCAACTAACTTATCCAAATTAAACTTCAAACGTTCCCTTATATTCACGTCTATCCCAAACTAACATAACCCTGATCAATCCCAATCATAATTTACTCTTTATCTCTAATACCTAAACCCAATATAATCTAGTTCAACCTAACCTAGCCAAATCTTATCTCAATGCCAGCACATTCTTTACTCAATCCTAGCCCACTTAGTTCTAGTTCCGTTTATATAGTGCGTAGCCTTCTCCGTTATATATATACATATATTGATATATTGACTTTTGCAATATGTGGTGTACCTTTCGTTGAGCCAATAAATAAATTTCGATTGCTTTTTGAAAACCCAAACGAACAACCCGTGTATTCCTTGCCTTGCTTAATGCGCTGCTCTGCCGAGCACAGTTTTCAAAATATATACCCGAAATTTTTAATCAACAATCTTTTTGAATACCAAAAAAATACCATAATATACCAACTCAAAGGAAGCTGTGGAGGATTCGCGCTACAATCTATTTGCGATGTATCAAAAGTTTGCCAAGCCGCCGTTCGATTTAACGGAAATAGCCAAATTTTCGTAAGTATATACAATAATCAGATACACTATATACTATATATATCTAATATGTATGTCATATATCTCAGGTTGGGCAAATCGGCGGACTTTGAGGACAACGATTCGCGCTTCTCCTTCAGCAACTCCAGCTCGCCGCCCCTGCCAGTGAGTATGTGTTGTGGAGCGTCCAAACGTCCCGTCCCATCAGCTGGCTGGCTAAAAAATGTATCTTAAGTAATGCTCCATCAAATTTCCCATAGGGCAATGGTCTGGAAAGTGAAAGATCGCCCGTCTCCTCGCTGGACGCGTGCTGCCCAAAGCCGAACGAGAACCTCAGCCTAGGCGAAACTGTGGATCTAACAGCTGCCGGGGTGCAGGTCATCTCAGCGGCGGGTGACAATATCATTGCCGTGGCGAATCCCGCCCTGGCACTCAGCCCCACACTGAACGAGGTGCTCAAGCGGAATGTGGCCTCACCCGAGATTTAGGAATGAGCAGCTATACATAGATATGCATATACATATGTTTAATAGTAAATTAGGAATAATTTTTGTGCAATTTAATTAAATTAAACTTGTTAGACTTAAGTCCTCATAATTAAGTCAATAACTAGCTTGTATATCCTGTGATCTAAACTATTCTGTAATAAACATAAACGAGAGTGCTTAAGTCGCGCATATCCGACTGAAAGACACCCGGTATTGAGCTTCACTAAATTTTAGCCCTGTTACTTTCCTTTGTAAAAGATTTTTAAAGGCTTTCGATTGACTAATTTTCGGACTTATAGCGAGAATGGCTTAAAAATATAAATTGATATTGATATCGAAAAGTATTTAATTCAAAGACCAATACCCTCATGAGCCACATAGCATTTGTGCCAATATATCCCTTATTTAGGGTCTAATAATACCCCTTTATACAAGTTACTTAAAGATCATATCAAAATCGCATTTGATGCGCCCACATTTTAAAGAGACTTCGTTGAAAGGGCTATCAGACGATCGTTAGCTCACAGATTTGGGCAATTGATCAGCTCAGCTGAAATGGATCGTGTGAGAATTACCCCCGAGCGCCGAAATCAATGGGAATTGTGGCCTGGCAAATTGTGTTTATATTTGCGAATTGTGGGTTTTATCCTTTTGTACACCTCTTGACTGTTGATGTCTTTTTTTTCTGTTTCTTGTGTTTTGTGTTTTGGCAAAGACAAACCCTCAGTGCCCTAATCCCAGCCCTGCCCCTCCCTGTTTTTCGCAACGAGCTGTCAATAAAGATATCAGAGCTAATGATGATGAAATTAACACCCTTGTGCTACGGGGTATTCGCAAATCGGCTTGCGCATGCAAATTTTCATATGCAAATTTATTGATAAATGATCTTGGTTAAGAGCGAAGATCAATGCATGTTGTGATGCTGGCTTAATTGCGAATGCAACGCGAGTTCTGTTGGCTCAACAGAGCGTGAAGTAAAGAAAGTGGAAAGTGGAAATGGGAAAGCAGAAAGCAGAAAGGGGCAGAGCAGCTGCGATTTGAGTCACAAGACAATGAAATAGACAAAAGGATAACTCCTTTACACACGGAGATGTGGCCACAGATGCGCGGGGGAACAGCCTTCGTCTTGGTGCTGGCATCTGATCTGATTAGAGAGCACTGCGCGCTGTGAGGGTTACTTGAAGCGTGCCAAAAGGTGGTTTTGGATTTTGAATTTTGGGGTTTTCCATTGTTGGCATCCTTGAGATGGCGCCAAATGTTCTGAAGATCTGCGTAGACTTTCAAATGTATTCAAATCCAGCCGGCTCACAATTAGAATGCAGTTCAGGTCTAGCTCGATGTAGGTCGGTAAACCCTGCGCAACCCTTTTAACACATGTACCAACCACCACAGAATATGTAGATGAAAAGGACTTAGATCACGGCCCCTGCCTGACCAAGACGTTCATTAGACGCATGATTGATGAGGCTATTTGCATAAGTCTTTGGCTCTGAGGCACGTTCAGGATTCGGTCATGAGAACAAAGCCCAATGTCAACAGACGAGAGTTTCGCTTGGAGCGCTTCTGCCATCATTAGTTGTTCTCATTATTATAATTTGTATTATTATTATTATTAGTATTATTATYATACAAGTAATTGAGTTAGCTAAAATCTCTCTTAGGGCGTATTCTTCAACTGCTCGATTATCCAATCCATGAAGTACTGTGTGCTCGAATAGACGCCGGGTATCTCGGGCCGGGCACAGCCCACACCATAGGACACCACGCCAATCAGATAGAAGCGCATCTGTCCGTCGACCACCTCGGACGTCATCAGTGGTCCACCGGAATCCCCTTGGCATGTATCCTTGCCGCCAGCCAAGACGCCCGCACAGAGCACCGCCTCGTCAAATTGTTCCGGTGCCAGATAACGGTTCACGCTCGCATACCTCCTGCGGCACTCCTCATTTTCCAGCACGGGTATCATCAGCTGCATGAGCACCTCAGAGGATTGGCCACCCTCCTGGGTCTTGCCCCAGCCAACGACAAAGGGATTGGTTGACACATACGACTTGGAGCGCAGAGCTGGACTGCTGGGCATACAGATGGGCACTATCGTGTCCGTAAACTGCACGTTTCGCTCCAAAAAGAGCATTGCGATATCTCCACGTCCAATGCGCTTAACATACTGCGGATAGCTCACTTTCTGTCAATAGAAATGGGTAAAAGGAAGATTTTAGAAGAGACTATATATGTAAGCTAAGTTTCAATTCACTATATAACTCGTAGACAAAGGATTCGAAAGGTGAACAAATATATCAACAACATGTGCTGGAAATCGTTCCACATGGTCAATCATTCGATCAGTCAACCAATTAATCACTCTGTCTCAAAGCTTTCCTTATCAATCGACATAATCCATATCTAATTAAGAAATAATCTAGGTCTGCATTTCTTCCATTTATATCAATACTCAAAGTAATCAATTAGTCCATCAATTGCCCCAGTTCTTTATGGCTGGCCCTATATCTCACTGCTCCATCAGTCAGCCGCCTATCAATACAACATACCTTAGCAATCCTTATGTCCACATGACGTGCTTCGGTATCCGTGGTCAAATCATGTTCGCCCAGACGCACAAATGTCCTGAGCAAAAAGGATTTGCAATTTCAGAAATAGTTTCAAATATTTCGAGATCTACTCACAGTTCCTCCAGAATGCAATGGGCTGCTGTGACCACATGTCTGGCCGTGATCAAAGTGCCGCCACACTTGAATGGTGAGCCAGCGATGACGTCGTAGCCAAGTAGAGCGATCCAAGGCCAAGAGCCCTGCTTGGCCGGCTCTCCGCCGACAACCTTCTTGAAAGCCGCCGCTTTGGGTGTTGCGCCGCAGCCCTCCGCCACGGTGGGAAGACGACGTGGCACCTCGTTGAGATTGACTGGAATGACGGTTGTTATCTCGGTCACCGCCTGGCCAGTGGGGCAACAGACGTGGGAGCCAACGCGGCCGCACACCAGATTCGAGGCTTGCAATTGCTTGGCATAGTCGGGATCATTTTGTCTAGCCCGAAGTTCGTTGAAGACGGGGTCACAGCTTCTGATGTCTGCAAAGAAGTTAACGGTTTATAGATGAACATTTTGATAGAGCCACACTTTGTACTTACCGACACACTCACCCACCGTGCCAGGTGGAAACCGGCAGGATGGCCCACGAGGCATTATAAGTGAGTTAGATGTAGCTGGGGCAGCGGTTGTGGTTGTTGTTGTTGTTGTTGTCGTCGTCGTCGTCGTGCGCCGCGTTGGCGGGGTGTTGGGGAACAGGAATGGATTGTTCGTCGTCCACGGGCTCACCGATGGCGTAACAAAGCTACCCTCTGTGGTAATGAAAGGATTCGGCCGATCTGTGACCGGATTAGTAATCGGTCGAGTGCAGCACACCTACATTGAGAGCAAATTGCGAATAGTCGCTTAAGCATATGGAGTAGGGGAAAAACGGAAGAAATATCAACTCTACCAATGGGTCGCGATTAACGCTGCGTGTGCCACAGCTGCGCTGCAGTTGCAAAATGTAATTCTGGGCGGTACGTCTATCGGTCTGCTGGAAGATATTCACCACCTGGGGGCAATAACTAAGCGCCACACAGCTACCATAATAGTTCTCGGGCGTTATGCAATTCTGGCGAACTAAAAATGTAACCAAAAAGCGAGAGTTTAGACACGGATTAGTAAGCTTACATAGCTGAACGTTACATAAGTGAAAGTAAAACATGATGATAGAAAGAGATTAAAGAACTTAAATGGTAAGTTTTAGAATAGAATTGAAATGAAATGAAATTAGTAAATGCAAAAACTACTCTTAAGAGCTTCATATAATGAATCTTTTGTCTTGATAATGATAATCCAATCCAATTTGATGTATTCCTTGAGGTTTTTATGGTTTATCATTCCACATTGTCGAATTCTATTTTATAATTTTTATGCTTCAATTGGCATTTGAATTTAATAAGGCGCATTCGCAGTTTTTCTTATAATAAAATATTCTATACTACAAACAATTGAGATTTCGCAGACCTATAGTATATCTATATATTACGCATTTATACGAGATTCATCATCAAAATACTTCAAGCAATCGAATATAGAAAAACTTGTTTGAAAAAAGTTTTATTTTTGAGTTATGACAGTTAAGTGCTATAAAGAACGAAGCCGGTTACGAAATTAAATTACAGCTGAGATTAGCTTACATAGAAACAGTTAGCTATAGCCATAGCCATATTATAAGAATAAGTTTTACTATTTGAGTGATCAAGCGATTGATCAATTATCTATATATAAACAAATATA